GAGAGCAAGGGGCCAGGGTGACATGCCAGAAATACTGCTGGCCTTGGGACCAGTCAGACCCGTGTCTGAAACTTGGCATGCCTATGTATCAGAAGGGCGGCTTGGGTAAAGAAATGATGATAGTGATGGATTATAACCCATCAAATAGAGCAAACACCCACACGTCTGTATGGGTTTAAATAAACAACTAGATGAAGGAGGGAGAAGAGAAAGCTCTTTCTTACAGTAGAATTCCAATTTAAAAATACAGAAGGAGGGGCACCTGGCTGCCTTGGTCGGTGGATCATGAGACCCCTGATCTCAGGGTTGCAAGTTTGAGCCCCACATTGGGGAAGGAGGAGAAAATACTTAAAAGTAAAATACTTTAAAATATATAGAAGGGGGGGCCACTTGGTGACTCACTTGGTTGAGCGTCTGAGTCAAGATTCGGCTTGGATCATGATTCCAGGGTCGTGGGATTAAGCCCCTGCCTCAGCATGGAGCCTGCTTGGAACTTTCTCTCTCTCTCTCTTTCTCTCCATCTGCCCCTCTCCCTCACTCACACACTCTCTCTTTCTCTAAAATAAAATTTAAAAAATTAAAAAATACACAAAGAAAGATGAAAATAGTAAACCACCACTGTCATAATTATTTTAGGAAGAAATTATTAATGGATGCTAAAATTAGTGGGTGAAAGTTTGATGAAACACAGGATATTTGCATAGTCTCAAATATCCCCTCACGAGATTCTTATTAACTACAAAAAGAAGAAGAAGAAGAAAAATAATTTTATCATGGAGAATCTTGACAGATACCACCTTAGCAAGGATCAGAGTTAACATCACCGATCACTGAGACACATCAAAGTCTGTTCCCTGATACCCTGAGAAAGGTACAACATCCCTTTTGGGGTTATTTTTAACAAAAGTGCATAACCTCTCAATTTAATCATGAGGAAACACCACATGAACCCAAACTGAGGAACGTTCTATCAAGTAACTGACAAGAACTTTCTGCAAGTGTCAATGTCATAAAATCCAAAGACAGAGGAACTATCACAGACTGGAGGCGTAATAAGCAAATGCAGTATGGAATCCTGGATTGGCTCCTGGGCCAGAAGAAGGGCATTCATGGGAAAACGGATTGAATTTAAATAAGGTCTGTAGTAAATAGTGTTGTATCAATGTAATTTCTTATTTTTGACAATTATGCTATGGGTATGTAAGGTTGATGTAGTAGAAAGCTGGGTGAAGGCTACCCGGGGAATTCTTTGTACTAGTTTTGAAACTTTTTTCTAAGTCTGAAATTATTTCTAAGGAAAAACTAAGAAAAATGGAAGGAAGGAGGGGAGGAAGGAAGAAAGGGGGAGGGAGGGAGGGAAGAAAGAGAGAGAGAGAAAGAGAGAAAAAGAGAGGGAAAGACAGGAAGGAAGAAAGGAAGAAAGAAAGAGAAAGAAAAGAATGTCTTTGGCAAGTCTCTTTCCTTCCCCGAGCCTTAGCTTCCTCATCTGTAGAGTAGGGCACTCACTCCAACCTGCTTCACAGTGGGGTGAAGATAAAATGAAATAGCGCAAAGCAGCAATGTGTATGTATTGATGCTACAAAGTTATTCTTGCTGTAATGGCAGCTCATGTGTCTCGATGAGATGCTTGAACTGCTACTTCAGGAGGGTTCTACCCTAATGAGAAACATCTGGCTGAAAGCGACTTCCTCCCAGCCATTCGCCGTGACCTTGCCCAAAGAATAATAATGCCAGCTTTGTGGCTGGGTGGCTGTTGTCAAGGAGATGGAGTCGGATAGCACAAACAGCTGGTGGTAGTGATGTCATCTCCAGGCTTGGCAGAAAGAAAGGCCAGGATGAGACAGAGACGGGGCAAAGGGTTTCGTCCATGACCATGAAAATGGGAAAAACAACTTCCCAAATAGGCTATCCGTTGTCAATTGATTCTATTTTCAGTTTCCAGGTTCACTAGAGGGTTTAGCACACCATCCAGGAACACAGTCATTTGCTGGACAGGGGAATGTATTCATCGTGAGGAGAGCTCCTCACAGGCTCTTTCTTCTTTATAGTTTCCAATGTATCCAATTAGATAATGCAACCATGTGAGCCCAGCACCGTCTGCCCCGTTTTATACATGGGAAAACCAAGAAGGAGCAAGGGGAAGGGACCCCAGTCATGGGAAAACTTGGAGGACTTTCCAGAGTCAGAATCCAGGTGCCCTGACTTCCAGCCCTGCAACCACACTGTCCACACTTGATATACCTCGTGGCCAGTGGCCCAAGGAAGCAGTGGCCCAAGGAGTAGAGTCTGGTGGACACATCACTGCAATACTGTTTTCTGGATGTAGACCTCACCTCTTACTCCTAAATTCCTTAAAAAAAATTTTTTTTAATGTTTTATGTATTTCTGAGAGAGAGAGAGACCGCGTGAGCAGGGAAGGGTCAGAGGGAGAGGGAGACACAGACTCTGAAACAGGCTCCAGGCTCTGAAGGGGCTGTCAGCACAGAGCCTGATGCGGGGCTCGAACCCATGAACCGCGAGATCATGACCTGAGCCGAAGTCGGGCGCTTAACCGACTGAGCCACCCAGGTACCCCACTCCTAAATTTCAAAGCGGAGAAAAACATGCAGGAAAGATGGGCTGCCGGAAATAATCAGGGCACTGGAATTTAGAGGGACCTGGGCTCCTGTCCCAGCTCTGCAATTGACCAGCAGTGAGACTGGGAGTGAGTTATTTTTAAAGAGGTCTCAGTCTTCTCATCTGTGGGTAAAATGGTGATAAAGGTTGCACCTATTCCAGACGACTCTGCCGTGGGCTGTCAGCGAGGTGGTGTCTGTGATATGCTGGACACAAGGAATCCGTAACAGACGCTCAAAACGTGTAAGTCCTCTTTCTCGTTTCTTTCCTCAAGCGCTTGGCATCTGCTGGATGGAAAGTTAGTTCCTTCATTTGGGAGGTGATGATTAGTAACTCAGCCTCCCTCACGGGGCACAGAACGAACAGAACGGGTGGTGTGGCTGTAGCTTCGAAATAAACATGAAGAGCAGTGAGGTCCTGAGACATCCATGCGGTCCAATCTTCTTTCAGAGATGTAGTAACAACAAGGGCCGGAAGAGTGGTCTGCAAAGGTCACGGAGAGTCAGTGGCGGGACCAGGGCAGGCATCCTGACACCTCCAGCTGCCCTGCTTTCGGATACACCCATCTCTTTGGTTGAACTTAGCGCCGTTCCAGGCATCAAGGCCTGACCCTTCTCTGGGTCGGGGCAGGCTAGCTCGTGCCCACTCTCTCTTTTAAGCTGTTGTTTCAGGGGTCGCTGATTCAGGGGTGGGTGCAGAGGGGGGTCAAAGAAGAGGGACAGGGAAAGGACCATGGGTTTTGTAGTCTTCACGGAAGGTAATAAAGGAGTGGGACGAGGGATTTACAGAATTGGGATGAGGGATTTCCGGGTTTACCATCGATTGAGCTACTAGAGTATCTCAGATCGTCCTCACAGCCTCGCAACAACCTTGCAGGATAGGTATTAGCCCCTTTCTCCAGATTGATTGGATCATTCATTCAACATCTATTTTAAAACACCTTTGGGGGGGGCAGGCACAGTACTGGGGATATAGCAGCGAACAATTCAGGACACGATATCTGCCCTCGTGGAATTTCCAGTATAGAACAAAAGGAAGATTTTTTTTTAAGTTTGTTATTTTTTTAAACATTTATTTTTGAGAAAGAGATAGAGAGCAAGTGGGGGAGGGGCAGAGAGAGGGAGGGAGACAGAATCCCAAGCAGGTTCTGTGCTGTCAGCGCGCAGCCTCATAGCTGGATACGGGGCTTGAACTCACTAACCCTGAGATCATGACCTGAGCTGAAACTAAGAGTTAGACACTTAACCGACTGAGCCACCCAAGCGCCCCAAAAGGAAGACTTTTTAAAAAAAAAAACCCACAGAAATATATAATTGCAAAATGTGATTAAGTGCCACAAAAGAAAAATATGGGTTGCTAAGAATACAAGAAAGGGCTTGATTAACGTTAGGAGATTAGAGAAGGCCTCTTTTGGAAAGTACGCTTACACTGAGGCGGAAGGAAACAGAGGCCGAAGGAGGACTTGTACATGATTACAGGCAAAGTCACCATCTACCTACTCATCCATCTTTTCAAGTTATTTTCATCCAGGATTCTTCTGACCGCCTGGAGAGGAAGGCAGCAATAACTGAGATGCGGACAGAAAGGTTGACTTAACCGGCCCAGCTCTGCCAAAATTATCTGTTTGGTGCTTGCGCTGTGCATCAGCAAAGGCAGCCAGGGTCGTGGAGAGCCCTGATCTAGTAGCAGGAGCGTGGCTAAGGCTCCTGTCCACAGACTTACCGTGCAAGACTTTGGGAGATTCATTTCCTCTTTCTGGGCCTCAGTTTACTGATCTCAGGTGCGTTTGAGCCCTAAAAGTAATAAAGGATCCCTGGTGAGACATTGGAGGAGTGTTTCAGGCCACTGGCTCAAAAGGACGAGCTTATTTGGTTCAAACTAAGTGTGCAAATTACTGCTTGAGGTGGGATTCCGCAGGAAGGATTCTTCTCACGTGACGCATCCCTGGTTTATCTGAATTTCAGCTCAAGGCGGAAGCCTTTCGGATACACAGACCCCTAAGGTTAGGGGTCATTATTCTACAGAAGCACACAGTGGGTCAGGAACTCTGAGGGTCGGTGACGGGTTGGGTTCCCATCTCCCGCTTAAATTAACGTACCAAGGCCCGGCTTCGCCCTCAATAAACATGGCGCATGCCCCGGCCTCGGCCTGAGTGCCCTCACAAAAAATGGCGGCCTGCCTTTCTTTCCTTAGTCTGGCTGGACACGCGCGCAAGCTCTTGCCCTTAGCCAAGATGGCGCCCGCCGGCGCTTCCCTGCCCTGCCTCCGGGCCCTGCTGTTCGGCTTCACCGCGCGCGCCTCGATGACCCCGCCTCGTTTCCGTAGGAAGAAGCGCCGGGAAAGATGGCGGCGGCTGCGGTTTGAATTCCAGCGGCGCCGCCAGAGTCCCAACGAGAGCCGGAGTGGAGGGGGCGGGGACCCGGGGAGCCTGCGGGTCGCTGTAGCGGGGGAAACCAGTTGGCGCAGCCGCTCCGGACACCGACGCCACCACCTCCTCTGTGTCCATGATGGACTCGGTGTTGGAAGAAGACGTCACCCTCCCCGGGACGCTCAGCGGCTGCAGGTGCGGCCCGGGCTTTGCAGGGGCGCCGTGACGCGGCCGGGGTTCCCGCTGATGGGGGTGCACCCTGATGGGGACTCGGGGTTTGCCCTTGAGGATGTTTGAGGGCTTCGGGACAGGGGCGGTGTGTGGGGTGGGGTCCTGAGGGAGGTGTCTCGAGCACGGAGCAGCTGATTCTGAGTGTGGGGTCGGGCGTGGGGGGCAGGGGTCCTGACCCGCATCACACCTGCCTCAGGTATTTCGAGACAGACTTTGAAGCGGGTGTGAGGGTCAGGTGAGGGGTTTTCTGAAAGAGGGGGACGAGGGGGACCTGTTGGAGTGTACCTTCAGTAGGGGCAGGTTGAGGGACAGCGACCTTGGGCGCACTTGGGGTTCATTCTGATTTGGGGGTTTGCTTGCATTATGGGGAGGTAGTTGGTTTGTCCAGACTTTGCTCACCGGATCACACAGCGGCCTCCACGACCGAGGCAGTGAAGCGCAGTGGTTAAGAACGTTGGCTGGAGTTGGACAGAATTGGATTTCGATCCGACCCTTGAAACTAACTAGTTGTGTGGCTTTAGTAAAATGATTTAACCTGTTTTCCCGTCTGTAAAATGGGACTAGTAGTAATACCTACCCAACAGAGATGGGAGGAGGATTAGAAGGGAAGATGCCTTCCCAGGGCTTGGCACATAATCAGTGCTTAAAAAAATGATCCTGTGTTATCCTTACGCCATCATCATCATCATCATCACTACAGATTGAGGAATAATGGCTGAGGGTGGCCTCCCAATGGACCTGTCCCGAGAGGCTGTTGGAGCCCACATTGCTGGTGGGGCCTGGTGGCTTTCCTTTTGGTAGGAAGGCCTGACAGAGCCTGAGACTGTTCCAGGGCTGGGGCTGTTTGGTTTTCTGTGTCGCCTGGTGGAGCGTGGGGGAAGGATGTGGAGGGGAGCCCCGACTCAGAATCTGCAGTGTTCATCCAGCCCTGCTAGGGATGGGCTGCTGGTTTTAGTCAACAGACCCTCACTGAAAGGGTGCCCTTGTTACTGAGTGTGCAACCCGGGACAGTTTTAAGAGTGAAAAGGGCACAATTAGGATTTGTGCCTAGACAGCAGCCATAAACCGGGCCTGTCTTGGGTCAGCCTGGACGGACGGTTGCTCCGTGTGAGAACCTGCAATGTATCAGGCGCAGAGCGAGGCCTTGGCAGCTTCTGCCTGATTGGATCCTGTGCTAGTTCATCAAGTCTCTCTCTCTTCATCTTATGACCACTGTCCCAGTCTGACTTGGGGAAGACCTCTCACCTGGATTGTCCTTGCCACTACGGTTTGAGAGCCTTTTAAAAACGTGAATCTGATGGTCAGTCTGCTGCTTTGTATGTTTACTGCTTCTCTTCGCCACTGAAAGTCCATTACTTTTCTCAGCTCTTCTTATCTCAGCGTGAGTTCACCCAGACCTTGGTGGGTTTCAGTCCCAATTCTGTGTTTAACAACAGCGCTGTGATCTTGGGCAAGTCACTCACCCTTGGTGAGCCTCCGTTTTCATCATCTGTGAAATGGGTGACCCTGAAAGGGTTTGGGCCAGTGTCTGACACAGAGTAGTAACTCAGCAAGGAACAAATCATCTCCCCGTAAGCCTGGCCCCATTTACCTCACTACCTCCTTTGTCCTTTCTGTCCCTCCCTGTCTCCTCCCCAAACACTTGGCTGCCAACTCTGGACTTGTTCTTTCTTACTGTTGGGCCCGTGAACTCACTCTTCCTGCCGCCAGGGGTGCCTTTCCTGCTCCCCTTTGCCTTAGCAATGCCTCTTATTTTACAGTGAGATTTCAGTGCCACGCCCCCACCCCCACCTGCACCCCCCCCATCGCTGACAGCATCCCAGCCCTCATTGGCCTCACTGAGTTTTATTGACTGACCCTGCTCCGTAGAAACATATCGTGAGTCACGTATATAACTTAAACTTTACCAGCAGCCGCAATGAAAAAGTAAAAGAGGAACAAGTGAAATTAATTTTGACACTAGATTTTATTTAACCCAATATGTCCATGTATTACTATTCTAACTCGCAAACAATAAAAAATTACTAATGGGATATTTTACATTCTTTTTTTATTTTACAAAGTCTTTGAAATCCGGCATGCAGGTTACACTTAGAGCACTTCTTGGTTTGGATTAACCGCATTTCAAGTTGTGCAGCAGGTCCCTGTGGCTGGTGGCCGCGCTGGATGGCGACTGTGGCTTGTCTGTCCCGCTGACTAGACTCTGGCCTGTCTGAGAGCCGGGGCTGGGTTTTGTTCATCTCTGTGACTCCACTTCCTCACCTGGTGTCAGGCGCGCAAGTGGGAGGTGGAAGTTTTATCCTCTTTTCACGGTGGGCACACTGAGGCTCAGAGAGGTGACGTGGGTGGTCTGGGGTCCCACAAAAAAAGTACATGATCGAGACCATTTAAATCCAGGCTTACTGACTCCAGAGCCTGGCTCTCAGTGTCTGTCCTGCCTTCTGGTTAGTTCTCTGAACCAGTTCTGAGGGTACTCTGGGAGGACTTTAGGGAGCTGCTGGCACTTGAACTGGCCCTGAGTGGCAGAAGTGTCCTGAGAGAGAGAGAGGGTCTCCCTTAGACAGTCATGGTGCAAGAGAAAAATCCCTGGAATAGAATCCTCTCTTTTTATTCTAATCTGAGTACCCTTCCGCTTGGTAATTTCCAAGCCCCAGTTTTAGAGACAAAACCGAAGTCCAGTTTGTGCTCAGACTTCTGTCGAATCAGGTCAGGGTGTGTCATTCTCTCCAAACCTGATCACCTGTGGGTGCCCCAGAGCCCTCCAGCCCCGTGGGAGGCAGGCTCCGATCCCGGGCCCGGGCACCCCGCCCAAGCTACGGCCCTTTATGAAGTCCTGCCCAGGTCGAAGGAAACTGGGCTTTGTGCCTGGGATGACTAGTTTTGAATCCTGCTTCCCCAAGTTACTAGCGGAGTAGCTTTCGCAGTTCACGTAACCCTTCTGAGCCTCAGTTTCCCTTCAGTGGTAATATCTGTTTTTTGGGTGACCATGTGGATGAAGCTAGATTGTGTGCGTTATGTGTCAGACCCACCGGAAGTGCAGTAAATGTTAACTGTTTTTGTTTGACTGGTACGGCATCGCACTGTTTCCTGGACAAGAATCCTCAGTGCCCATCACCCTGGATTTGTCCCTTTGTTATTATGCCAAGGGTTCTTCCTCTCTCTAACGGTGAGCTTCCTGAGGCCTGGGCCCAGGCTGGTTCAACTGTGGGCTCCGTCAGTGCATGGCCATTAAGCGCGTGCTGTCTGGTTAGGGGCCGACCGAGAGGAAACGCTTTCCTGTAAGTCTGTGCACAGTTGCACTTCGTCAGGCAAAGAATGTCTTCATGGACTTTTGCAGAAAGAGGTTGAGAAGGAAGAGGGTGGCATGAACTTCTGGTGAAGGTTGGAAGGCTTGATCCAAGTCTGGCCTTGGCTCGTGTCCCCAGTTTGAGGAACATGTTCCCAGTCACCGGTAGAAGGTTGGTCGGGGCAGGGAGCGTGTGTCTTCAGACCCAGAACCATGTGTGACGCATAGGAGATCTGTTGAATGAGTCAGTTTTGTTCAGTCTCTAAAAAGACAAATACCACGTGAACCCAGGCTCCATATTTAGTAGTGAAACGCTCCTTTGTAGTAGCTGTGAAAAAGCGCACACACGGTGTGTCCGCTCGTACGGTCTTTCTGGAACAGTTTGGTGTCAAAAATGTGCCCGTGTGTGTTTTTTTAAAAACCACTGTATTGAAATATAGTTTGTATGCTGTAAAGTTCAGCCATTTAAAATACTCCGTTCAGTGATTTTTAGTATATTTACAGAGTTGTGCAGTCATCTCCATAATCTCATTTCAGACAGAATACTTTCATCATCTGAAAAAGAAACCCTGTGTCCGTTAGCAGTCACTCCCGATCTTATCTTGGGCTGTAACAGTAATGCCATAGACTGGCTGATGTATGGACAACAGAATTTATTCCTCCAGTTTCTGAGACTGGAAAGTCCCAGGGTCCAAGCGCCAGCATGGTTGGGTTGCTGGTTCCAGACCGCTGGCTTCTCTCTGTCTCCTCACGTGGTGGAGAGCAGAGAGAGGAAGAGGATCTTCTGGAACCCTTGTGAGGGCACGGATCCCATTCATGGGGTCGCCCCCACTCCTGCCCTCATCTAGTCTTTTTTTTAAATTCTTTTTTAAATTTATTTCTAGGAGAGAGAGAGAGACAGCGTGAGCAGGGGAGGGTCAGAGAAAGAGGGAGTGACAGACTCTGAAACAGGCTCCAGGCTCTGAGCTGGCAGTCAGCACAGAGCCCGACGCGGGGCTCGAACCCACGAACCTCGAGATCATGACCTAAGCGAAAGTCGGACGCTTAAACGACTAAGCCACCCAGGCGCCCCTGCCCTCATCTAGTCTTAATTATACCTCCCAAAGACCCCCCCTCCTCATACCATCATTTGGGGTGGGGGTAGGGTTTCAATTTGGGGAGGGACACAAACATTTAACTCATAACACTAGCTAATACTCCTCTTAGCCCCAGGCAACCACAGTCTACTTTTTGTCCATCGATTTGCCTATTCTGCACGTTTCATATAAATGGAATCTTACAATATGTGGTCATTTGCGGGGTTCACCCATGTTGTCGCGTGCACTAGGACCGTGTTCCTTTTTATGGCCGAGCCATACTCCATTGTATGCACGGACCACGTTTTGCTCATTCATTCATTGGTTGTTGGTGGTTTCTGCTTTTTTGGCTATTATGAATACTGTTGCTATTAACATTTGTGTGCAAGATTTTATGTGAGCCTGTGTTGTCATTTCTCTTGGGTATATATCTGGAGGTAGAATTTTTGGGTCATATGTTAACTCTGTGTATGTTTGACATTTTGAGGGACTGCCCAACACTATTCCAAAGTGGCTGTCCCTTTTAATACTCCCACTGGCAGTGTATGACGGTTCATCTGTCTTCACAACCTTGTCAACATGTGTCATTGTCTGATTTGATG